TCGAAACTTCCTAGTTGAAATGAGAGATGATCACACTTGAGACCAGCAGAATGCAGGACATGCGTGCTAAGCAATCGATGCTAGCTGGTGGTATCAAGTGTGATCATCTCTCATTTCAACTAGGAAGTTTCGACACGCGTGATTAGGACTGCTTATCAGTCCTAACTGATGCGTTTATAATGAACACTAAAGCGCATGCACAGCTCGGCGAGAACTAATGTGTGTGGTCAGATCCGAGGGAAATCCTCTAGCATAGTCGATGGTCTCATCGCTTCTATATTGCGATGTGGTCGATCTAGGTTCATCGTTGACCTAAGTGACAAATGGACAATTGGAGCGTCTGAAGTTCCCACTGGTAAGGGATAAGTTACAGGGATGACAAACATTTCACCCAAAAGGGTCCGTCTCATGCGATACGAGCCAACCGGCTATGACATTTATACCTCCACCGAAATCAGGTCTGTTTGCTCTGGGCAGTGGAGCAGTGGTTTAGTTCATGTCACAGGCGTGCTTTGGACCCCGTTGTCCGAAGTTCGAGCCCCGCCACTGCCACCCAACTTTGGTGGTGGGCAGCTTTGCTGTCGTCATTATCATCATCATCATCGTACAGCGAAATGCAGTGAGGTGAACTTCACTGATCGCGGCCAAACTCGCGATGCATACAAGGTTAGTGGTAAAATCTAAAGTGGACAGGGATTGGATCTATTTTAAGGGAGGGGGAAAAAGGTGAACCTCTACGGTCAACACACAGAGTGCACCATCGAACTCTGCATAAATACCGTTCCAGGCGTTCTAACCTGATAAGAAACGACAAGAACGCCACTGCTGTCGGTTCGCTGTTATATCCTTCAATGTCTCCAACCTAAACTACGTAAACACTGATAATCGAAAACTTCTGGTCGACGGATATCTTTCACTGGCAAACTCATGGTCTCACAACCATAAAGCAGAACTGAACGAACGCTAGCACAATATACACGACCTTCAGTGAAACGTCGCGTCTACGCCAACGGTGTTTCAGTCCTGCGTATGCTGCTCGAGCCTTGGAAATGCAGGCGGTTATCTCCTTTGCTGCACTACCGTCATTGGTCACGCAACTACCTAAGTAGGAAAAGTAATCCACCACAACTAATTCCTGGCCATTTAGTTTCAGAGCGGTTCAATACCACGCCTAACCTATCGGAGCCNCGGAGCCTTATGTGGTTCATCATCACTCCAAGTCCCGTCAGGGCTTAGGTTACCGGTTTCCATCACTGAACAGCAGGTCCTCGTGAATATAGGGTTTATCCCGTCTGTTGTTTATCACACTTAGGTGTGTAATAGAAAAAGCAAGAGGTTGTGCAATTAGACACAAGTTATCTTTGACCGCATCTTGGATACAATTGGGTAATGCGTACACCAAAGCATAGAGATTGTATGATGCGCAAGAAAGTTCGACTTGTTAGTTTTTTTGTATTACGCCTATCCGGAAGGTGTCAAGTAATTTATAAAATATTCGAAATTAATACAGATTTAAAAAAAAAACATTTTCCATGGAATAGAAATTTACTTCATTGTAATAATCCTTATTTGCCAATATTGTACGAGGCAGATTTCAACTACACGGTATAATGCCCGACTGAATCGATCAGTGCATGTACAATTGAAGGTGGGCTCGAAATGTTCAGCCCAACGGTCAAGACGGCGTTGCTGACGATGATGATGATGATGATGATGATGATGATGATGATGATGATGATGGTGAATCCATGTGCTATCGGATTCCTTAATTACCTCACCTACGCCTATTTTCTTGAGACCCGTATTCCTAATTAGACGGAAAAGATTGCGACTATTACCAATTGTAGCAGTCTTCTCTATCTAGCTCTCTACACTTTCCTAATCACCACTTCTCGCGGTCATTGCACAGACTCTTGCTGATCTGGTGTTTGACGGATCGACGCGCTGTGTCATATGTGGTATCCAGATGGAGCAGTTCTACGGGTGACCAACAGGGCAGTCGAAATTCATCATTTGTATTTCGAGTCAGCAACAGAGTCTCTGACATTGGGTTTTATCGATATTTGGATAGTTTGCTGCTTGAGTCCGTCAGCTGGCGATTGCAATCGAAACCAAAACCGGCGCACAAAAGTGTATGGTTGTATGATTGTTCAAATTGAAAATGAAAACTGAATCATGCATGTGTCATTGAGAGAAAGCTAAGTTCATTGTGACCGATTATTCAATCCACCATTCGGATTGAACTGAGGACTGTGTGTGAACATGGTCGGTCGGTCAAATTGATACCACTTCCCGCACACTACTACTCACAAATAATCTGTGAGCGATATAAGGAACGAGTGAGATAATTGCAGCTCGAATGGGGAGAGAAACGAGAAGCGTGTTTGCAGCGAAATTCTGTATCAGAACAGATGTGCGGCGGGCGTGGGGTACCGGCTTTCTAGGACTGATATGGACCTACAGTGGCTAGAATAATATCCAGTGTATTTTTTTAATTGCTTAATGCATTGTGCAGTAATTTTCCTTGTTATTTTTGGAGATATAACAGTATACGGATGGATCACAAAGGTGTAAAACCATAATTGATGCATTCAAATAGGTCTAAGGGCAACAGTGTTTTTTTAATTTCTTTTATTACACAACTGAATGATGAACAGCAAAAGGGAGTGAACCCCATATTCACGAGGACCTGTTATTCAGTTATGGAAATAGACAACCAACCCCGCTGCTAGATTAGGCGTGGCACTGAACCGGACGACAGCAAAGCTGTCTATCATCACGGTTAGGTGACGATTGTAGGGTTCGAACTTGGACGATGGGTTTCAAAGCACAGTGGTGACAGCGAATAAAACAACTGCGCCGCAACCATCACCACCCACAGTCAGTAGCAGAGCGTGGTTTATTCTCTCCGTAAACAAATATTGCAATGTTCTTCTTACTGCCTCCCGTGCTTAAAAATCACGGACAGCATCACTCTCTGCAAGTGGTTTTGTGTATTTTCACGAATCGAATAAGTTATTTGTGTATTTTCACTGTTGGCCACGTACCACCCACAAGTGCAGTAGATCATGTCTGGGTTAATAGATTTATCTGGAGTGAATTCGAATTCGGAAATACCGCGGTTCCGAGGGGTTGCGCTACGCACACCGGGGCGCAAAAAATATCAAACTATTGGCCAGGTCAAATATGTCGTCTTCATTTTGCAAATGCATTCACTATTTGATGAAAATCGACAGTCGGAAAAGGTTGATACGTTCACGCTATTCAAGAGCGATAGCTAAAATCCGAATTTCCCCTCGACTTCATTCATTTCAAGTCGGCATTCGGACGCTGGTGGCATTTCAAACCACCTCTCCAAAAATAACAAGGCCCATAAAATAGTGTAAACCACCGGAGTGTGAACGATTTTGAGGAACGTGGTCCGTGTCGTCAAACTAGCACGAACTGGCAAGCAGGGGAGAAAATGCATCCGATAGTTAGTACAGCACAGCAAACTTGATCATTTTCGCAGACGCATAAACAACCAATTCGTTCTCTCATGGATATCAGTGTGCAACAGTATCCGACGATGCACAGTTGCACNACTCCTTAAATCAGATCGAGGATTAGGAGTTAGTCATCTCCCTCATGTGTGTGTGCTCCAACGGGGTTCGATAATTCAGTGGAATAGTTGGAAGATTGCCAGCAAAAACATGGTGCTGGTGGTGGTGTGCTCTCTCCAAGGAAGGCTTTTTCCAGTCATTCCAACGCTACATGGAGAGTAGCCAATGCCTTGGGAACCAGTGATCGGACATCAGATGACAGCGTTTTCCGCTAACGCCGCCGAACGGAGGATGTATGATTCTTTGCATTGAAGAATAACACTCCGGTACAGACCCACGGTGAACCGAAATGCACTGGCAGTAGTAGTAGAACCAGT